AATAAAAGATAAAAGAGACCCTTTTAGACACTAAAATGTTCAAGAAATTTTTGTTTTGAATGGTTTTATTTCACTATTGTCTTATAAATACTGATCCTTAAATTTCCCCCAAAACTATCATGACTATGAAATACTGTCTCATATATACTGAACCCCAAACTTCCCCAAAAACTATAAAACATTGTCGTTGAAATTACAAAAATGACTGTAATCTGTCTTTTATTCACTGGAAATAAACTGGTTATATCAAATTCCGCATAGGGGGATGAGGATGAATGGAACATATCCATTCTAAAGTCATATGGGTGCTGCTGCAACAGTGAATCAGAATTTTCTTAAATCATTTTTACTTTGATTCTGTCTCGCAGGTAAACAATAAATATACATGTGTAAAAACACCTTACAAATCCCATCTGATTAAAACCGCAATTCCGACGACCCGGATCTCTCTGGATTTATCACTTAATATTAAAGCTTCAATCAGTCAGCCTATCACTGATTTCCCTCCCCTTACTTACACTCCCCTGGTTCAATCAATGTATTTAGATTTTGTATGATCAATAAAAACAATAGTTCACATTTTAGGCATTTGTAAGTCTTGAAAGTCTTATATGTTTATACACTACAAAAGTCAAAAAGTCTGAAAAGACCAGTTTTTGTCTGAATTTGCATGAATTTTTACTCGACATTCTTAATTTGTCTGAATAATTTTTAAAAATTCTTGACATAGTATGAATTTGTCTAATAAGGTTCTTGATTTTTCTTGACATTAGTGTCTTGACAGTATGAACATTGTCTTAAAATTTCTCGACACTTCCTGTATCATCTGATAAGAGTCTGGATTAGTCTCGACCAATTCTTGACTGTCTTAAATTTGTCTCGATCTGTCTTGACATTCTAAATAATGTCTGAATATGTCTCGACATATTCTTGACATTCTAAATAATGTCTGAATATGTCTCGACACATTCTTGACAGTCTTAAATATGTCTTGACACTATCTCAACAGTATAAATTTAGCCTGAAATGTGAACAGACTTATTCTGCACTGTTTATGACATTCTATTGCTGTTGTATACTCCTTTTTATTATAGCTAAACTAAACTTTGAAGAATCAAGGATTAATTTGGTATAGTAAGATACCCTTTTGGTGCAGCTAAGTTGGAATACCCTGAATAATCCCCCATGTAGTTTAATTTTGATTTATTTTTATTAAACATTTAAGTAATTGTTTTCACTTGGAATATTAGTCAAAGGTATTGACAAACAGCATTTAGATTTTTGCCGTTCGCAAAACTGCCAGTCAAATTTGCTTAATAAAATAGGTGTCTTGTATCTCTTTTGGACCCCACAATTCATCTTTTGGGTTTGTGTGGCTAAAAAAAGAGGGGGGGGGGGGGCTTTCGTTTAGGTCAAAGAAATTGTTCCCATCTTGATTCAAAAACCTTATTCATTTTTTAGAACAACCCAAAAACATTTTTTATTCAAATGTGAGTGTTGAATTTTATAATTTTTTATCAAAAATAAATATTTGTGATAACTCCTTCCTGAAAAGAAAAAAATGTTTAGATCTATATTATGCAAGTCTGTGTGAGAACCATTTCATAAGACCGATGATTTCTATAGAAATCATTGATGGGACCAATTATAAATACATTTTTGTTATTATTCCTGGAGTAGATAATAATTTTCTTTTAATCTTTGGGAATTATTCAATTTGTTTTTATGTTAAAATAATTAACTTCATAATTTTGATGAAGAAAATCCATTTCAATTCAATTTTTTTTCATCAAAATGATGATTTTCATTTTCATCTATCAACAAACTTTTTAAATTGTAGTGGCATGGTCGGTCAACTGATAAGTTGTATGGCTGATGAGAATGTAGGACAGAATTTAGTCACAGGACAAAAAGTCACAGACAAAAAGTCACAGGACAAAAAGTCACAATTCAGTTTTGAGATTATTTTTCTTTAAACAAGAAAACACTAATTTAAAAAATAAAATTTTTGTTTTTTCTTGAACTATTATATATGAAGCAACTTTGTTATTAAAATGTATTCAATAAATATCAATAATGATCAAATAATTGTTATGAAAACAAAATGTCAGAGTGGCTTGGTACTTAAATGGCTTCATTGTGCCAAGAAATATATCCTTTGCATGATTAAAATTTAATAAATTTTCATTTATCAAGGCTTATGAACAATTTCCTAAACTTAAAAATGAATATATGTAATAAAAAGAAAATATTTCAGGTTCCTTCTCTTATATATTCAAACAATTGTCAACAAATTATTTGTGACTTTTTGTCCTGTGACTTTTTGTCCTATCAAATTTGTGACTTTATGTCCTGTGACTTTTTGTCCTGTGACTTTCTGTCCGTTTACCGCTGATTACAGGTAAAGCAATAACTTCTATTTGACAGTTGCGTGTACTCTGGGGTGTGGAATACCTTAATTTTATGGGGAACATCCTGTCCATGTGTAATACTTAATATATTCTAACAGATGACATTACATTAATTTTTCTTCTTTAAAATGAATGATTTGTATATCATCATAATTTGCTATTTATATAAACCACATTTTGGTATAATAATTATTTACCATATCAACATTGAATATTATGAATGTAGAATGAAATATGTCTACAGTATGATTGGTTTGAATCATTTAATTTATAAGATTTAGGAATCAAAATTTGTAATTATTTAAAAACCCACATTGAAATTGTTTTATATCAACACACCCACATTTGAATTATTTTATACTTTAGATTTCATAGCCATATTTGCATTTGTAAAAATATCTATAAACCCAAATTTTGAATTATTTAACATGCCCAACTTTTATTTTTGTTGTAAAGAAGTGCAACTTGAAACAACAGTATATCATATAAAGAGAAATAAAGATTAAAGTTATATCATGAATATTGGTCATGATTGGTAAAACTCAGAACTGTCAAGTAAATTTAAGACACGATTCAAAATGTCCAGAATATGTCAAGCCATACTGAGAAAAAATAAGAATGTCGAGAATATGTCGAGAAATTTCAAGACAGTATTCAAATGTCAAGAATTTGTCAAGAAATTTTAAGACCATATTCAGAATGTCGAGAATATGTCAAGTAAATTTCATACAAATTTAATATAAATGAGAATTTGTCAAGAAAAATTAAGACACAAGTCATACTTTTGGAGAATGTCGAGTAAAAGTTCATGCAAATTAAGACAAAAACTGGTCTTTTCAGACTTTTAGACTTTTGTAGTGAATTTATATCATGGATATTTCACTTGTCCCATCAGACAACTAATATGGGGATTCTACTTGCCCAACGCCTATGTCCACTTGTCCCGGGCAATCGGACAAACGGTAATGTCCAGTCCTATACACTTTTTGAAATTGTTTATTGGACCATAAAAATGAAGTTAGTAGATATATGCCAATTGGAAAATTCTGTGAATTTGAAATCATACCATAGAAAAATTTTACGTACACCAAAATTCCTGTACGAAATAAGTAGTAGGATTCCACCTAGACACTAGTAGGAATGTAGTAGGAATCCACCTAGAACCAAAGATTCTATATAAAAAGTAGGCGGACATGGAAAATGAACAAAATTCTGACTGGATTTTTTATTTTCTCCACTTATAAATTTCCTACCAACTAGCTGGAATTTTAAAAGTCTGTATGGATTTTTTTCTGTTTTGAAAATCTTAAGTGGGAATTTGGATAGAAAATATGATAAGATTATTCATTTTCCTACTACAAGATTCCTACCAGAATTAATTTATTCCTACTAGAAAATCTTTCTACATGGAATCTTTTTAATTATCGTAAACTGGATTCTTGCTTGCTAATGACACAAATTTTGCTGTGTTAAATGCAAACAAGTTCCAGTTCACAAATTCAAAAGTTGGAGGGTAGAAGAATGAAAAGTTGTGTTGGAACACAATATGCTGCAAAGGTTAAACAACCACAATATTGAAATATGAGAAAATATGGCTCATGTAGATTGAAGGTAAATTTTATACTTTTAAGATGAAATTTTTTATCTGTTTGCCAATATATTTAGTAATCAGTTACATAATTTTACTTATTAATTTTTCATAACTCTTTAATTTCATCTTAGAATCAACATTTTTGCCCATCTACCTATATGTTTGGATATATCACAGCTTCCTCATACATTTCAAAAGTCAACTTTTTTAAATGAATATATTCCATGCATTTCCTTTGTTTTTTGTTGTTGAGATTCAAACTTAAATGATTGACCCAGTTGTGTATTTGTGAATATACACTTGCATTTTGTATATTTTTAGATTCCTACTAGAAAATATTTTTTTCTAAGTGGAATTTTGAAAAATTCCAGCCAGGTTTTCTAGTAGGAATTTTATTTTCCCACCAAATTATTCCTGCTAATTTAAATATTCCTGGTAGGAATATACAATATTCCTACTGGAATATACAATATTCCTACTAAGAAATTCCTGCTAATTTAAATATTTCGGCTATTTTCCGTGTGGATTCCTACTACTGTCTGACTAGAATATCACTCTTTTCTGGTAGGAATTCAATGCAATATTCCTACTATATTCCGTGTACATTCTGTGTGGAATATTTCATACAGGATCATGAGTTAGTTGACATTTATGGAATATCTGTTTCACAGATGACAATGCATATGTTCCAATTGTTGTAACCACAGTCCCGTCTTCATTCCTCAACATATCAAATTAAACTTATCATGAGGTTTGTAATAACACAAGCAACACCAGGGGTGCCACATGTGGAGCAGGATCTGCTAACCCTTTCGGAGCACCTGAGGTACACCTTGGTTTTTGGATTGATTCATGAGGCTCAGTCTTTAGTTTTCTATGTTGTGTTTTGTATACTCTACCTTGTCATTTGGTTGCTTTTTCGTTTTGGTAATATATAGTGTACATTTAAAACACACCCAAAATTCTTTTTTTCTGCCATAAAAAGGATATGTGCAAACTGACTGTGCAGTGCAGACTTCCTGTAGGTCACTGGAACAGACCACTCCTACCGTTGCCATTTGACAAGTCGTTGTACAACAAGCATGGTTACTTGGGCTGAAATACAAAATAAAAATTTAAAAAAATAGCCTATGTTAATAATGACTTTGTAATCTTGCCCCCAAAGACAGCAAGAGTGCACATGCTGAAATGTTTCGCCTGCTTTACTTATCATAACTGAATTTATGTTGATAGTGTGTAATATGAAGGTTTTACTACAAGTTTCAAACAAAAAAAACAGACAAACATGTACACCTGCCAATCAAACCACACCCCAAATATAGTAAACCTATTATCTTTGTATCCAAGAACCAGACCTTGTTCGGAAAATTGAACATTGACCAATCAACCATGAAAGTAAGATAAAAGGTCAGATGAACCATGCTAAACAACATATACACCATGCAATCATTCCATACACCAAATATAGTTGACCTATATTGCTTACAGTATCTGAAAACAAAACATTATCATGAAAACTTTACATTGACTAATGAACCATGGAAATGAGGTGAAAGTCAGATAAATCCTGCCAGACAGACATGTACACCTTAAAATCATTCCATACACCAAATATAGTTGACCATGTTGACCTATTGCTTACAGTATCTGAAAACAAAACTTTAATATGAAAACTTTATGAAATGAGGTCAAGGTCAGATGAACCCTGCTAGATAGACATGAACACATTACAATCATTCCATACACCAAATATAGTTGACCTGTTGCTTAAAGTATTTGATAAATAGACAATTTTATAAACCATGAAAACTTAACATTGACCCATGAACCATGAAAATGAGGTCAAGGTCAGATGAATCCTACTAGATGGACATATACACGTTACAATCATTCTATACACCAAATATGTTTTATCTTTTGCTTATGTATCCGAGAACATTAGACCTATTAAAGAAAATTGAACATTGACCAATGAACCCTGAAAATAAGGTCAAGGTCAGATGAACCCTGTCTGACAGACATGTACACCTTGCCATCTTTCCATACACCAAATATAGTTGATCTATTGCTAAAAGTATTTGATAAACAGACAAGACCATGAAAACTTAGCATCGACCAATTAAATAAACCATGAAAATGAGGTCAAGGTCAGATCAATCCTGCCAGACAGACATATACACATTACAATCATTCTATACACCAAATATAGTTGACCTATTGCTTATAGTATCTGAGATACAGACTTGACCTCATTAACTAAACCCTGATCACTGATCCATGAAATAAAGTTGAGGTCAGATAAACCATTTCTGACGGACATCTTTCTATGTTGTGATGTTACACTATTATTTCAGGTTAGGGTGAAGGTTGGTGCTGTTAAAACGTTTTAACGCTGCATTTGTTTGCACCTGTCCTAAGTCAGGAACCTGTTGTTCAGTGGTTGTCGTTTGTTGATGTGGTTCATAAGTGTTTCTCGTTTCTTGTTTTTTATATAGATTATTATATAGACCGTTGGTTTTCCTGTTTGAATGGTTTTTACACTAGTCATTTTTAGGGCCCTTTATAGCTTGCTGTTCGGTGTGAGCCAAGGCTCCGTGTTGAAGGCCGTACTTTGACCTATAATGGTTTACTTTTACAAATTGTGACTTGGATGGAGAGTTGTCTCATTGGCACTCATACCACATCTTCTTATATCTATGTAAACAGATATTTACCAATTATTTTATTTTTGTCTTTTATCTTGAAAACTATTAAAGGGAGAAACTTTAAAATGCAAATATTATCAGCAACACAAGATCTACAAATAATTAAATATGGCTGAAATTGTAGGAGTTGTTGCCCTTGAATGACAATTTTTAACCATTTCTATGGCTTTTGGCAAGAAATTGTAAACAGAAAAAAATGAATGAATGATGATTTTTACCATTTTTTGTGTTTTGGGCAAAAACAATAGAAAAAGACATAAAATAAATAGAAAAATTGATCAGCAATACAAGATTAAAAAAAAAGAAATTTTAGTCATGGATTATATTCTTGTCTACAATAAAATTGAGAATGGAAATGGGGAATGTGTCAAAGAGACAACAACCCGACCATAGAGCAGACAACAGCCGAAGGCCACCAATGGGTCTTCAATGCAGCGAGAAACTCCTGCACCCGGAGGCGTCCTTCAGCTGGCCCCTAAACAAATATGTATACTAGTTCAGTGATAATGGACGTCATACTAAACTCCAAATTATACACAAGAAACTAAAATTAAAAATGATACAAGACTAACAAAGGCCAGAGGCTCCTGACTTGGGACAGGCGCAAAAATGCATGTTGGAAAGAGACTGTTGTAGTAGATGCACATAGATCAAGGTGAGAGACACATGCTCTTTAGAACCTCTACTTTCTAGATGTAATTGATGTGTAAACTTGGGCAGAATAACTCATAAACAAGATTCCTTCTGTTGTATGTTAATTGTCCTTGACCTCATTTTCATGGTTCAGCGACTACTTGAAAATAAATTATTTTTTTGTCATGTGAATTTCACACTTTTTTGGGCCAGGTGAGCTAAAAATGTGTTAATACTATCATAAACGAAAGCGTGGATGCATCATTGGTATTTTTTATATAGTAAGTATTCAATTAAATTAAATTGTATGTGTAATACAATCAATGGTAATCTTGGAATTTTATGTGACTGTCATACAAGTGAGAGGTGTAGCTAGCTATTAAACCAGGTGTAATCGACCATTTTCTACATAAGGAAATGCCTGTACCAAGTCAGGAATATGACAGTTGATTTCCATTCGTTCAATGTGTTAAAGCTTTTGATTTTGCCACTTGAAAAGGGACTTTCTGTTTTGAATTTTCCTTGGAGTTCGGTATTTTTGTTATTTTACTTTTTGCTGTATCAGCCAGTGGTGATGCTATCGATATCAGTCACAGTAGCAATAACTGTCTCGGTGGTCTTGTGGTAGAATGTTTGCTTCGAGTGCGGAAGGTCGTGGTTTCAAACCCCTGCCGGGTCAAACCAAAAACTTTAAAATTGGTATTTGCTGCTTCTTCACTAAGCACACGGCATTAAGGAGCAAGAGCAAAGACTGGTCAGCTTGGAATCAAAATAATGTGTCCAGGTAAGGTGACATGTCTTCCTGTGTACTGTCACCTTGTGAACTAGCACGTTAAAAAATCCGGCTCAGCGTGTCGGTCTAGTACAAACTAGGGTAAATATTCATATTACATTAACATGTTCTTGTCCTGAAAATGCATATTAATTTTCCACTGGACTTAAGCAGCCATCCATCCTCATCATCATCACAGTTGCAAAGGCTTTATCAAACCTTTAATCGGTATGACCTCATGTCACACGAAAAAGATCTACTTGCGGTGTATAATACCGTGTATTTTCTATACCATACATCATATCAATTATCAACCAATGAAATCCCTTATTAAGTGCAGAGCTCCTGGGATTATATTGGTATCTCAGGTTGACAAGGGTGTGATACTAAAAAATTCTTATTATATTCTCTATTTATACAATGTCAACATTAAAAAATTTTACCTGCAAGTTGATCCTGATTTGAATTGACAACTGGTAGTACAGCAGGGATCCAGATTAAATTTACCCAGTGATCCACCATCACACTGCTCACCTGTATCAACTCGACCATTTCCACAAGGTTCTGTTGATGTGTCCTCTGAAAAAAAATCAAAAGTTTACCACAAATGATGCACACTTTAACTTTAAGGAATGAAAGTAGCATTATACACAATGTGCAAACAAGTAGTTCATAAAAGTTCATCAAACAGCATTTCCTAACATGAGGGGGGTTGGGTTGGGTTGGGTAGGAGAGAGTCTCACCCCCAATTCCCAAGAAGAAGAAAATGCCAAATCTCGAATTCCCATAAACATAATGTGATCAGGCATCAGGATATAATTATAAATCCTGAATTCCTAATGATTTAACTGGCTAATCCTTAATTCCCGTGAATTAAACTGCTCTATCCAGAATTCCTGAAAAAGGCCCTTCCGCCCCTCTTACATGAAATCAGTCTTTGTGACATTATACTTTTATCCTTTGAATTGGAAGGGTGTATATATATTTTAAAAAATATAATTCATGTTGAACAAGTTCTCTTTGATGTACATATGAAAGTCTGGATGGGGGTCTTCATTTCTTTAATCTTTAATATTGTATGCAATTTTTTTTCTTTATTTGTTTTGCCTATTATTTTCCATTTGTTATATTTTACCACCCTATTATTCTATATTCTTTTTTATCTTTACCCATTTTTCTCTATTCTTTATTTTTTCCGTCCATTATATTCCCTATTCTGTAAACCCATCAAGCCCCTCATTATATTTATACCCTAAATATAGATTTTTAGATAAAATCAGAAAAACGTCACTTATGGTGCATTAGCTGTCAAAATCATGTTCACTGATTTGGAATTGACTCAAATTCTCATATTTGACTTATAACATACTAAAACGTATATCCAAATTATAAAAAGTCTAAAATGAACAATTTACGATGCATGAACACGATAATATGTTTCAGCATTTTGTGTGTATTTTAGTCTAGACACCATCTAATTAACCATTGAGGTGACCTCCGAAGACTGTCGACAGTCATATAACCTGATATAAACATAAACATAAATATAAATAGATAGCGAACTCATGCAATTAGATTTTTCTAGGTCTGTTTGATTTCATATTATAGGTTAAAAAAATATGTTAATCATCGTTTTTACCTGTAAAAGAATGAGCTTTTGTGGATCTAATCAGTCAACCAAATGGTTTACCCTTGTTTCACTTCCAATGTTGACATTCTTTTCCTTTTTATAGCTGAACACGCCTTGCGTAACCCAACTCTAGCTAAGGGGTTAAATTGAAGGTCACATGAATACGGATTGAATGAGGTCGAATTATTCACTTGCAAGTGAATAATTCATCAGCGATGTTTCTTAGCTTATTTTGACAAAATTGCTGCTAAAAGCGATTTATTATTTCACCATTTCACTTTCATTAATGATTGAACAAAAAAAAAATCACATATTTCTAGTTTTTTTATATCTCGTAGCTATTTAATGCCCCTTTAAAGTTAAGTTTCATTTAGATAATTATAGTAATAAATCAATACTTATTTAAAAACACTTACCAGAAAAGCAAGTTGCAGCTTTATTAGCCAGAACAGAATTGATATATCCTTTACTACATGATGAAAAAGCCTGCAAAACAAAAAGAAAAATATAAGACCAACAATAGCTTAAATATACATTATAAATCATGAGGAGCATAATCGTCAGCTTATAAACAACTGTATGATCGAGAATTCTATTGAAGACATGTATCTTGATTCAATTAATAAGTAATGGCAGAAGGTAAATCAATTTCTTTCTTCAAAAAAGGAAAATTCTATGTCTTACAAGATGTCAGTCTACAAAATAAGTTCCTCTTATCATTAATCTTAGGTATATATCTAACTTAATGACATCCCTGTATCCTATACAGAAAAAGTTGATGAGAGGTGGATGTGAAGTTACACATCACGTTAAAGATACTGTGACATGATCACATAATAGGATAGAGAATGGAAACAGGGAATGTGTCAAAGAGACAACAACCCAACCAAAGAGCAGAAAATAGCCAAAGGCCACCATTATGGGTCATCAACACAGCGAGAAAATCCTCCACTCGGAGGGGGGCTTCAGCTGGCACCTAAACAATAATGTTTACTAGTTCAGCAAAATGGATGCCACACTTAACTCAATCTGTGTGAAAATATATAAGTATTCAGGAAACACAGTGAATGTGAAAAAGCATCACACTGTTATAAGAATGCTCATGTGGAGCTCGATACCAAGTTTCCAGAAGTTCTGATTTGCAACAAAAATCTCAATGGATGATCAGAAAGACAGCGGTTAACAAATCCTCCGTCTGAGCAGGGATTTAAAGATGGTTATGGAATTCTCCTTAAAAATTTAAGGTAAACCTGCCAATTAACCTTTTGGGGCATCAAGCTCCAATACTAGGGGGGGGGGAGGGGAGGATTATGCATATAAAGATTCAAAGTATTGTAACATTTCAGCACAAATAGACAAATTTAAATTATTTATTCATGATTAATTAGTTAAAAAAACATTTTTGATTGTCTATTTACTTTGCAAATAACATATTTCACATTTTTTTCGATTTGAAAATTCTCAGGCCTTTCATGCCATGATGATGAGCTAAAACTTTAAGGTGCTGTATGTAAAACTGAAACTGGAAATTTATTTGAAAATCCAGTTTAGTATGTACACTTAATGCCTAAATATCTAAAAATTTGATGATGAATATTTCAAGGAATAGTAGGCGTAAATTTCAGAATAAAATAATAAAATATATCAAGTAGCTTAGTCTGATTTCAAGGAAACAAATATAAAAAAGTAAAAAGATATAATTATAACAAACAATTAATTATTCATTTCCTTATTACATGTATTAAATGGGGGGGGGCTATGACTATTAATAAATGGAGATTTAGATTTAGGGGTAATCAATGAGAAAGACAGCAGCCTAACAAGCCCTTTTTTTTGTCCATTCTTTTAAAATCTAATTAATAAATGCAGGAAATTAATTTCTGAATTTTCACCAAATGGAGATTTGGAGGGAATATTAAGGAGACAGCAGCCTAACGAAACGATTGACAAATAAAAGGAGATTTGAGGCAATCAACAAAACCTTATAACACAGATATGACTATGATTAAACGTCAATTTGGGGGCTGAGGAGTCAATTAGACAGCACCAAACAAAACCATATAATAAATGTATGACTATGGAGACTGTTGGGTGTATCAATTGAGGCTGAAGTCCAACAAAACCCTACACTATATATATGTATATATACACGACTATAAATAAATGGAGATTTGGAGGACAATCAAATTGAGACAGCAACCCAACAAAACCACCTACAACATAAAAAACAGTGCATTAATGGAGATTTTTGTAGGGATCAACAAGACAGCAGCCAAACAATACACAACAACAAATATGACTATGATTAAATGGAGATTTGATATGAGGGGTGATGTCAATGAGAAAGCACCAAAACAAATTCTATAACAAATACGACTATGAATAAATGGAGACTTGGGGGGAATCAATATGAGACATCTCATGCTTAGGTCAACACTGATTTGGTTTTGATGAAAATTATATTTTCTATGAAAAATAATAAAAAATAGACATATTTTTACCCACAATAAACTCTCTAAATAGATAAATGACCAATGATGAGAGAGCTCATTAAATTATTTGTTTACATATTTTTTTTCACTTTCTGAAATTTATTTGAGATTTAAAATTCCTGAGAGACAGGCCATTTTATAGGCCATTTGAGCTAAAAACTTTAAGCTGCTTTAAGCAAAATTGAAACTGGAAAATTATTTGAAAATCCCATTAATCATGTTGTTTAGTATGACTACGCCGAATTATCTATGAATTCAAAGATGTCAATTAAGATTTCAAGGAACAGTAGGCGTAAATTTCAGTGTTTATATATATCAAGTACCTGAGTCATTTCATGGAAACAAACATAGTTCAAGTAAAAAGATAAAATTAACATACAATTGTTTATTTCCTTCTCAAATGCTGGTACATGTATTACCCTACTCTAGACGTTTTTCTTAACACTAGCTACTATATTTAATATATATAAAATAAGAAAATCCTGTACTTGTTTGTTTCAGTTTCGATGTTCTCATCAACTTAAACTTTCCATTGTTTTAACAGTTCCTTGTTTCAATGTCCTTATAAAATCAATAATTTACTTTATAATGATTGAAAATCTCCGTACATTTAATAGCCACAGAACAGTTTTTGTTGACATTACATGGAGCATGCAGAAAACAAAAACTGAATTAAGAGGACAATAATACATAGAAAATGGAAAAGAGAGACTTCAAGGTAAGAACTTTAGATATTTAAAAAAAAAATCATGTAAAATTGTCCTGGTTTTATGTAACCTCTCTCTAGATATTAATGATATTAAAACATTTGTTATAACTTGAGCTGCATTCCTCTTGGAAACATGAATATGTCTGTGTCTATAGGACATAGCTATGCCCTGCTATTACCGTATCACTTTTCCATGTGAACTGCAAACTCCGAGTCAAAACCAAAATTTGGCATATATTTCCAATTGTTCAAATCATAATTAACATCTCTAATAATATTAGTTTCAAGTAGATTGTGAAAAGTAAAATAACAAAAATACCGAACTTCTAGGGAAATTCAAAACGGAAAGTCCTTAATAAAATGACAAAATCAAAAGCTCAAACACATCTAACTAATGGAAAACAACTGTCATATTCCTGACTTGGTACTGGCATTTCCTTATGTAAACTATCTTCAACCAAAACTTTAATCTACTAGGGGATTGCCAAATAGGCTGATGCACATACCCCTCCTATCTATCATAGGTGGGGCAAGAAAAAAATAATGAGGCTCTGGAGTCGGTTTCACAAAAAAACTTTAAGACTAAAATTGAACATAAGCCATGAACAATTAATTCAGTATACTTACGATCAATCTTAGTCGTAAGTTTTTTTGTGAAACCGACTCCTGAAATTCTGTGTCTCTAATCTAAATCAATGTCAAACTCTATCAAACTCATTTGACCTCTCAATTTCAGAAACATTAAGTAGCTACGCTAATTAAACTTAATTTTCTTATTTAAAAAAAATAATTGATTGTTGTTAGCTTATTGCCCAATTATTATTTTTTCAAATGGAATTATTGTTATATGAACTATTTCTGGCTATTGTTTAAAGGTCTTCAATTTTCAGATGACTAGAATAAAAATAAGAACAATGCATTATTTTTTTGCATTTTTCACCTAAATAAAAGTATTGTAGGTCCGTAACAAGTAAATTTACCAAGTAATAAACAAATACTGCTCATCTATTTTTTTCTATAGCAGTGTAAGACAAAAAAGTTTGTCTTACTTATTTTTAGTAATAATGATTATTTTGTAGACTGATATGCACAAAACAGTGAAAATGTCTACAGATAAATGTAAATCATTGCATTTTTACAAATATCTATGCCAAAAGATTGGATCTGTGGAAGTCGTGAAACTGAGGAGATCAACTTCAACTATTTTTGGAGAAACCAAATCACTCATAGTTAGTGGAAGTAAAGGTGAAGGCCTTTATTTCAAAAGCAGTGATTTAGATCTAATGTATGTTGACCCTTTATTTAAGGTGTATGAATCAGAAGCAGAAGCCATTCCTTACGATGGGACAATTCCCTTAGTCATGAATACCGAGGAGACCCAACCATGTTTTACACAATTATGTCTGCCTAATCATTATAATCATGTTCTGCCGAGAACCTTCAAAAACATGTTTCAAAAAAATCATCTGGGATGTATGTTTTCTAGTCAACAGTATAATCTGAGCAACTTGTCATCTATTTCTAACAAAGTGGCAGCAACATTTTTTAAAATTCACGGTTCGTGTGTATCTGATGTAGATGATAGTTTGGATACAGCATTTTGCCTTAAATGTGATCAATGGATATTTCAAGCACAGCCATGGGTAAGAAGATCACGTACAATATGGCCTTCACCTGAAATCATATCCCGAATAATAACTTGTGGTATATTATTTGTTCCTATTGGCTACAAGGGATCTGTCAGTGAACATCTTGAATGGCGAATATCATTTTCTGTAGCTGAAAAGTTTCTAATATATTCCTTCAGTCATACACAATTATTATGTTATGCTCTGTTAGTTTTGTTAAAGGAAATAGTAGGGAAACATGAAGATTTGAAAGATTTATTGTGTTCATATTTCTTAAAAACATTGATGTTTTGGATTTCAGAAGAAACAGATATCAATTCTTGGAGGGCAGATAATATCATACCATGTTTCATGGCAGGCTTACAAAGACTGTTGTACTGTGTAAAATATTCAATATTGTCACATTATTTCATTCCTGACAATAACCTTTTCGACTCAAGGTTCAATGTTAAGAACAAAGAAAAATTAACCACCATACTTGAGAACGTATATGAGCAAGGAATTAATTGTTGTGTGTCTTCTGAGACCCTGCAGGATTACCATACACAATCCTACAACATCCATGAATCTCTACCAAGTGGTAATTTCAGAATATTCTTAAAAGATTTACTTTTTGTTCCAGGTACTGAGAATATAAGTCTACTATATCATTTTCTA